CGCCAAATTCCACACGGCGGGATGGCTGCAGTACTGTATCCGAACCGATTGTGTGCTCCATTCCCGAACACACAGATTCGCACAGTTCTAGCAGTGGTCTAGGTGGCTTGGCCTCGCATTCTATCACTCCACCCCTAGCTCCCGCCAGCAGTGCATCCTTTGGGGAAATCTTCACCAGTCGATCAATGACATCGTCAGCCACCTCATCTGGTGAAGGTGGAAATCCAGCTGTTGATGCCGGATTCCAAAGTTATTCTCCCCCGGATACAGACGCGGTCGCATATACTCTGATCGACTTTACTCGTACTATGGCCCTGGGTGAACTAAGTGGTGATATGGTCGAGCAACAACAGCATCAACACGAGCAACAGCATGGCTCTACGACCTCATCAAAAATCACCACGACAAATACTCATTTCCGATGGTCCCAGCACAAACCAACCGTAGACCGGTCTACTTCGGTTCGAAAGAGTCTATCTCGTTCTATTCGATCAATTCGTCGTGGGAATCAGAAAAAAACAGGTGTGTTTTTAAATAACAATAGTTGACATTGCGCACCACTCTTTTCCAGCTCTACTGCACAGTCACCAACATTGTCTCTCGCCCTTCCCACTCATACTTTCCGACCTCCTGACCGCTCGGTTTGCGACTTTACTATACAGAAAAACATTCACTTGTAATAAATGACTTCATATGTTCTTCTTACCGTATCGGGAATCAACAAACTACCTTCACAAAACGTGGATACCTCGTCTTTTTCGTCTCGCCGTCATCATCTCGTTTGTTTCTTTTGTTTTCTTTCGTTGCCCAGTCTCACACCATCAACTGCACCTCCCTGCCTCACACGCGCCCGAAAACACTATCTGCCACTTTGATCTGTGTCCTCTCGATCTCTCAGTCTTCGTTCGTCTCTCTTCACTGCGATGCGCCTTCCGCGTCCGTCTTCCTGCGTTCTGTCTATCCAACCTAATATTTGACCATGCGTGACTGATCCGGACCGTAACAGGTCGTGATACATTCACATAAATGCATTCGCTTCCCTTGGACCGCCTTAATCCACCTCCCGTGTTTCCAGAGATCAACTGTGCGATCCGTTCTTGTTTCAATATCTCTTATTTCTTTGTCCTTCTTATTTGTTGTCGTGACACAATTATCAATCGTATGTACTATTAAGACTACCACTACTGCTATTATCACCACTATTGTTATCATTACCAGTACAACCGCAACTTATTATTATCATCACTATTATTATTATTACAATTACGACTATCCATATTTGATTTTATCCGTTTCTTTATTTGTTTCTGTTCTTTTGTTCTCCAACGGCAAAATCTGAATTGATGCATCCGAAACTCCGTATGTACACATGATTACGATTCAAATGTTGGCTGTATTCTCCACACGACACCTCTCATGCTCTTTTTCCTGATTTCTTTTTTGTTTTTTTCCCTCTGTGACCACACATCCAATACATCCGGCCACAATATCCATTTGTTCCGTTCGATGGTGTTCACCATTGCACACTCATCCTCTCGCCGTATCCGCTCAACCCCCTCGAAGCCCCTTCCTTTTCACCATTTTAGCCAAAAACCCAGATCGAGAGATTTGTCTTTGCCCGTTGTTCATTACCTTCTTCCAATCCGCGT